AGAGCTTCAGGGATTAATTATTTTTTTGTAAAGAGAATAATCTCGATAAAAAAATACGATTAAGCTCCTTTTAGAAAGGTTTTCTCTGTTAACATAATCATCACTGTTGAGTTTAATGTTGATTGATTGCTTGATGATACTTGATGAGAATAATTAAGATGAATATGTATTGCTTGATTACGATGTTTTAAGTCTTTGTTGCTAGAGATACAGAACTATGTTCATGTAGTCTCGTATTTATTGGTGTTACAGTAGCAGAGCTGTGCTTATGTAGTCTCGTATATAAATTGTTGCTACAGATACAGAGCTATGCTCATGTAGTCTCGTTTTTATTTTTGCTACAGCAGCAGAGCTATGCTCATGTAGTCTCGTTTTTATTATTGCTACAGCAGCAGAGCTATGCTCATGTAGTCTCGTTTTTATTATTGCTACAGCAGCAGAGCTGTGTTCATGTAGTCTCGTTTTTATTATTGCTACAGCAGCAGAGCTGTGCTCATGTAGCATGAGAACCGAGTCTACATTCCAGCTCGGTAGAACGAGAGTCTGAGTCCTGTAATAATAAAGGGTAAGCAATACCACTAAAAATAACATTCATAGTAATGATTTTAGAACTTTATTGACGATAGTGGACACCAAAAAAAAAAAAAAATATCAGCACGCAAGAGCGACATTAGCCAGACATATTGACCCAGATAATAATATCATCAATGACACGAGAGTCGTTTTAAACATCCCTGATAATTTACTCCGGTTATGCAAATTTAGTATTTTATACGTAGCCTACACACACACACACACACACACACACACACACACGCACACGCACACACATACGTGACATAGTGGAGGCAAGAACCACATATAGTTTTAAGACGAGGTGTGATAAAGCTCATGGAGAAGGGAGAGGACCTTGTAGCGATCAGTGAAGAGGCGGGGCCAGGAGCTATGATTCGACCCCTACAACCACAATTAGGCGAGTACAAATTAATGAGTACACACAATTATACAGCAAATTTTTTGAGTTAACGTGTGTGTGTGTGTGTGTGTGTAGCAGCATACTACATGCTCATATATGTTTGGTTGAGAGTGATAGAGGTGATATTTCCAGATACATGACATTCCATGGCTCAGTTGGCACTCGCCTAAAACAAGGAGAGCCCCAAAATTATGGACACGCATTACTCTGATGTCACCAGCGGTGCAGTGGACCAGTGGCACACTCCCTCCCACACACCATAGCACTTACAACGTTGTCCTTGTGTGAAAATGCAACGAAGGGGGAGAGAGAGAGAGAGAGAGAGAGAGAGAGAGAAAGAGAGACAGAGACACAGGCAAAGGGAGAAAGGTGTTTATAAATGTTCTGTGTTTCTGAGTATATGATAACATTTAAAATGAGGATAGACGTGATAAGAGATAGAAGAAAGACTCTTTTAGCAACATTGTCAGGGAAGATAAGAACTTCCAGGAGAAGTCTCATTATTTTACCTATAAGATATTGTATTATATATATTGCATATATATAAAGCAATAAAATTGCAGTGACCAGGTGATATCACAATATACAAAACAATCATTAACAAAAATCTTAAAATTCAAAGAGTTTTCAGGATATATATATATATATATATATATATATATATATATATATATATATATATATATATATATATAATTATATAAAGATCTACCCAGAGCAAAACGTTGTCACAGTGAAAACTTGTTCTCACAGTCGCCATTACGATTTTGTATGCAAAACATAACCTGATAAAGATCAAAATAAAGAGAAGATCATGAAACAATCTCTGAGGCACTTGACAGCTGGAGGACGATGCTTGTTGGAGGTCACCACAGCTGAAGCTGTCAAGTTTTAAGACGAACAAATCGCTGCGAGTTTCCCTTCGGTAAATCCAAGCCTCGGCCAGACTTAATTAATTCCTGCAGAGCTTACTAGTGTTAGGCAGCATTAAGCTGTAAAAGTTAGGTAAGGGATGGAAAGCTTAGGTTAGCTTGTTAGATCAGTTTTCGTGAACATTACACACACCACACACCACACACACACACACACACACACACACACACACACACACACACACAAGTTGAAGATTGAGACACTTATGCAGCATATGGGAATCTTTATTCAGGAAACGTTTCGCCACACAGTGGCTTCATCAGTCCAATACAAAGAGGAAGGCGTAAGGAGAGGAGGAGTATGAGGTAATCAGTCCCTCAGCCTGGAGTCGATGTGTTCAGTCCATCAATCTTGTAGAATGTAGTGAGGTGAGGTGAAGCAGGCGGAGGCGGGGTCATAGTGGTACCATCCACTATGACCCCGCCTCCGCCTGCTTCACCTCACCTCACTACAGTATATAAGCCACGTCTACGGCCCTATGCTGTACATTCTACAAGATTGATGGACTGAACACATCGACTCCAGGCTGAGGGACTGATTACCTCATACTCCTCCTCTCCTTACGCCTTCCTCTTTGTATTGGACTGATGAAGCCACTGTGGCGAAACGTTTCTTGACTAAAGATTCCCATATGCTGCATAAGTGTCTCAATCTTCAACTTGTCGGTTTTTCAAACCATTCATCACACACACACAAAGTAATTCCTTGGTATCGGGAGTCTTATTAGGGAGATAAAATCCACTACTGTTACGTAAACAATTATTCGCAACTAGTCTCAGCGTTAACGTGTTCGATCATCAGAAACTCGACATAAAGAAAATCAATTACCTAATTTGATGATGTAACATGCTAATTCTGGAACTAGTATATGAGATGTTTCAAGTAGGATTACTGGTTTTCATATTCCAGCATGCAAGAAACGTGCTGTCACAGTTCAGATGATCCTCTCAACTGCAACATCCTCACCCTTCCTTCACAGCGCAAACACTGTAAATTCCACCTCCATGACTCAAGTCAGGCTGACCGATTAAAATATATACATAAGCAGTATTTACAAAAAAACAAGATCTGGTAAATCTGTCCCCGGTTACAATTCCTCTTCAACTGATATAAACGAAGTATGAAATACCAGTCGCCAAGAAGAGGTATGACCTGACTACCATCATCCACACTACCACCAGCAACTTAATTGTGTGTAGTGTGGTAGAGGCGTGCACTGGCTTGGGACTAATTTTGTTGGATTAAAGTTAAATTTGCGTTAAAGCATGTCAGCTTAGGTGCTGCTCTTGTCTCTTCTTACTAGTTACTCTGCAGGTGAGGGAGTAAACATGCGATTTCACTCAGGTAATAGTTGCTTTATTGATTTTTAATAGATAACAGGTTCAAAATAATGCAAAATATTGATCATTTATATTTTTATTACGAATAATAAATCTTCACATATGTTGATATTTATACATACACTTTTATATATATATATATATATATATATATATATATATATATATATATATATATATATATATATATATATAAATATATATATATATATATTACATCAAAATGTAACTTTATTGAGCAGAATATTTTTCTAACACTTAGATAATGCTAAAGTCATAAGAAAATATTATTTAATGATCATGATGGTTATAGAGGACAATGCTAAGAGTCAGATTAAAAATTGAGAGACACGTGGACACGGGGATACACAGTCGGACACGTGCTGTGCTGGTGGTGCGTGTCATACGTATCATTGTGGTTGCAGTTTTTGTTATTTGGTGATATGTACACTATGTAGTTGCCTATTTATGTTCACCTGTTTGTAGGTACAGGTGTCGAGTCTCAACTTCTGGCTCTGTCTCTCGCTGCTTGCCGGATTTACTCTTTCCTTTGTTTTCATACCTATACATAAAGCCATGTATGATGTCTGCCTCCACTGTTTCCTCTTTTCTGCGACTTATTTGTGTCTTCAACTTCCATCTGTGCCCCCGTGTACCCGTTCCCCACCTCTCGAACAATCTAACCCTTCGCATCCAGTCGAGTTTTCCGAGTATTTTGTATGTCGTTATCATGTTTCTCATCGTTCTTTTATCCACTAATATCGTCAGGATCAGTTTTTTAAGCCTCTCATATGTTATTTTAATGAAGTCTGGAACTAGTCTCGTTGTATGTCTCTGAATTTCCTCCATTTTCTTAGCATGCTTCTTTAGAGGAGGGTTCCATGCTGGTGATGATACTCAAGATAAGCTTGATTGATTTGTTGCATAAAGTACGTGAAATGACTGTTGAAATTCCTGAAGGCTGCTCCATGATTTGCCAAACAAGCATTCACTACAGACGTTATTGGCTCCAGCGATATGCATATTTCTAGGTCTTTCTTCCTGAGTGAGGTTTACAGACTCTGTCCCTCGAGTCTGTACTCAGTTTAAAGTCTTCTTGCCCATTTTTCTATTTTCTTAACCCTGTATTTTCTGGGGCTGAAGTCAGGCAGCTTATCTGACCAATTTTACAGTTTACATCCATTTGCAGACTTTCCTTTTCTTTATCGTTTTTTTATTTATCTCCTGATTGGTTTTAAAATATCAACAAAATAAAGGGATACGTCTGTCTCCATCTCTGCTGATAATTCACTTATTTATATTAGAAAGAGCACCGGTGCCAATACTGGTCGTCACAGAACCCTTCTTGTTAAAATTTCCTCCTTAGACACCTCTTCCCAGGCAATTATTCTATGTTTTCTCCCCATAAAGTGTTCTTTGAAACATAGCGAATTCTCTTTTATACTTGCATGCACTCACGTCTTTGACTATTTCTTGTGAGACACGGTGTCTAATGCCTTCTTGCTGTCCAAGAATATGCAATCCACCCAACGTTCTGGATCTCTCTCTCTCTCTCTCTCTCTCTCTCTCTCTCTCTCTCTCTCTCTCTCTCTCTCTCTCTCTCTCTCTCTCTCTCTCTCTCTCCCTCTCCTGTTTCACTTCTACCACTTTGTCATAGATCTCCAGTAGGTTTGCGAGATAAGATTTGCCTCTGTAAGTCCATGGTGGTTATTGTATATGCCACAACTTCACTCCAAGTGCTTCTTTACTCTTCTTCCGATCTCACCTTTGATCTTTGACCTGACATTCTCTAGCCTGACCTTAGGTTGCTCGTATGCTTTACTGATGACGCTGACGAAATAAGGACGCTACCAGAGCCTTTATTTACTCAATAAAATGATACTACACATTCTCTAAAATATCTTTCCTCCATGGCTACCACAAGACATATAAACAGATACTTTATACACCCACATTTCTCATTTCTCTGCCCTATATCTCCCATGAGAAAAAGATATTACCCTCCAAGGGTTATCTCTCCACCATGGCTACCATAAGAGATAGAGATACCGCCTCCTTCACCTTGTTATCTCTCCACCCTGGCAAAAATGAGGGAGAATTCTCTTTCTCGAGAGCGGCTCAGGAAGCCAGCTATGTTGGCACTGCCATACTTGTCACCGTCTGTTGTAACTTTCTCACCCATGCTACAGTAATGGGCGATAGGGGCACCTGCCTCATCCAGGGCAGGGGTAGTAGCGCTGGCATAACCACTTATGACCACTGATATAACCACTTTTATGACCCCTAGCGCAACCACTGTTGTGATTCCTACCACGAACACTACTTTAACGACCAGTATAATCTATTTTAGTACTAGTACGATCGCTATTATAGCTACTGGTACAACCACTATTGTAACTGCTAATACGACCACTATTATTACTATCACGACCACTATTGTTACTACTTTCACGACCACTGTTATTACTACTAGCACGACCACTATTGCAACTACTAGCACAACCACTATTATAACTATCAGTACAACCACCCTTATAGCTACTAGCACGCCCACTATCATAAATACCAGCAAAACCAGTAAATATTTTCAAACGGTATTTTCCATCACGATCTCTTCGTGAAGCGAACAGACATTATATTTCTCTTTAACGTCAAGTCCCCTGAACACATTATTTCAGGTACACGAATAATTATGAGACAACTTACATATACTCGTGGAAAAAATTGAAAGCTCTGTCATTTCTGCGCAGAGATGATAGTGTATGCGAACGATAACTTGTGAAAATTGTTCTTGGATTGAAGTGTAACGAACACTGGTCGATGTAAAGCGAGAAATCACTCGGAAATATATAGATAGAAGAGGTTCGGATGTTTTCGACTTCAGTTAGAGACCGTCTTCATATACTGAAAGGAGTTTTATGACTCTAATTTTTCATGCCAAAGGCTTCAGTTATTTGGTATATATTTTTGAGAAATAACTCTCACATTTGCAAAACCCTCTGGCTCCGATGGTAGTGCAGTTTTATGTTTAGCGTAAGTCAATGCCTCTGACACACGTACAGGAAAAAGCAATCAGCGAAATCGAATAATCGGGAAGAGATACGTAGTGTTGAGCTCCTCCTATCAAGAAAAATCCTATATAACCCTCCTCGATCCTGCTACATGAAGTGTAGAATATCTTATACGTAATATCTTCCGCGTGTCACATCCTTCAGTTCTCGACTACCAGTTTCCTTCATCTATTGACAGCATCCTCCCTTGCCCATAATTAATTTTGGATTTTCCGACGAAGTTCCGGATATAATTTATGTTGCAGGAATGAGAGTGAATGTGTTTCGTTTTTTGTAGTGTCGTTCTGCTTTGATGGGAGACGGTCAGCGTGTTAAAAAATGAATTCTGGTTCGTGTCATGCTGGATGAAGTGGATCAGACTCCCTAGGGAAGAGACGTAACTTGGAGATGTTGTCTCCACACCTGGAGGTCTGATGAGGTCTCTATCTCACCACCACTTCAGATTCTGAAGTCTCTCTCTCTCTCTCTTACATTGAGACATCAGTGAAGGAACATTGTTATTGAACGTCGCTACTGATGGTCCTGCCCGAGTGAAGTCAGCAGTCAGGTAGTGACCTCTTGTGGCGAGTGACGTCAGCTGTCAGGCAGTGACCTCTTGTGGTGAATGAAGTCAGATGAATTCATGTAATAATATAAATCATCATCTTGTAGACATATTTACAATTTAAGATCCACGTTATGCCATACATAAACCCTTCAGATTTATAATGGAGAAAAAAAATTGTTAAGGAAAGTATTAAAGAAAATCTCCTGCATAACTAACTCGCTTCAAAAAAGCTCATTAGTAAAGATTTTATTACTTATGTAAATTGTAATTTTATACAAATTTAGGGAGTGCCTACTCAAGGCTGTTAAAAACGTTATATATATATATATATATATATATATATATATATATATATATATATATATATATATATATATATATATATATATGTCGTGCCGAATATGTAAAACTGGTCAGTTAGCAAGAACTCATTTAAAATTAAGTCCTTTCTAAAATTTTCTCTTATACGTTTAAAGATATATTTTTTTCATTAATGTTGATGTAAAAATTTATAATTTTACACCAAAAGGAATTTAGAAAACTTACCTAACCTTATTATAACAAGAGCAATTTATTTTAGCCTAACCCAACTAAATATATTTTAGATTTGTTTACAATAATTTAATACTAAACAAACACAGTGAAATATATTTTTTTCGTTAGGTTCAGAATGATTTTGGCGAAATTATTGCATACACAAATTTTCAAATCTCCTATATGGCAAGATGAGTGTTGCTATTTAAGCCAAGATCGCAAATTCTGCCTATTCGGCACGACGTTATATATATATATATATATATATATATATATATATATATATATATATATATATATATATATAGAGAGAGAGAGAGAGACTTCTATAGTCAATATTTTTGGGGGATTAAAGGATTCACGACAGGTGGCGAATAGGTTACATGCATCCTTTATGACCTTCATGTAGTCGGATAGTCTTTAGACTTAATCTAACAGTGTCTCTCTCCTTATCGATCTCTCTCTCGTACAAGACTCGCAGCAACTTTTATTTACGTACAACTGGCTTTGTGAGTTCCACACTTGTCACCTCTTGCATCGCTCTGTCGTGACACAGCATAGTGGTCTAGTGTGGCTATTACTTATAAAGCAGTAAGTCTTAACGCTTCAGCCAGACGCAGTTAGTTTACTCCTTGTTATAATTCTTTCTGGACATGTTTGTATCACGAGGCGACATTCCTGTCCTCGTTTTAGTCTCTTTGCAACTCAGGAACTCTTTCTGTATTTTGTAATTCCACTGTTGATTTGTGTTTTTCTTTCTATGGCTTCTTGACACTGTTTAGAATCTCCATCGTTTTAATTTTCTGTCACAATTTTCTGTCTTCATGAAATCTATTTCCTTTTCATATTCTCTTCTCTGCTTATTTATTTAACCTTCATTCATTTTTTCCTCTCCCACGTCTACCAAGTACTCTAAACTTACCCTTGTGTAATAATCCCTTATTGGAAGACCGTAATACATTTCTCATATGCCCGATGTACTGTAGATGAAGACCAGGAACAGTCGCGCTGGTACGAGCCCTCCTCGCATCCTTGTGGTTATGTTGCATCAAGACGTTTTACACTACTACCAATACTGTGTGTGTGTGTGTGTGTGTGTGTGTGTGTGTATACCTACCCATTTGTGGCTGCTGGGGGTCGAGTATTAGCTCCTGGTCTTTCCTATATATATCAAACTGTGTGCGTGCTTACACGGTGAAGCGAGGAGGTTCACCCTTGTTCATTGGTGCCGTGTTCCCCTCTCAGGTACTAACGCGCTTACTTTCGCTATAAATGTACAGTACAACGTATACCTTTACATTGTATACATGTATACAAAGATCACTAATATATATATATATATATATATTGCACGAATTATCTAAATGAATGTAAGACTTACTGTTTGGAATATGACTTTGGTCATGAATCTATGAACAAAGACGTGACTCTATGAATTAAAGCCTTGCTATGAACTAAAGTATGACTCTATGAAGGAAAGCATGACTATGAACTAAAGTATGGCTCTGTTTAATGCGTGAATCTATGAACTTATGACTGAATCCGTAAACTTTGTGGAAATACTAGACCCAAGTTTCCACATGGCCAGTAAATGTCACTTTCTGGAATTTTTATGAATTCTCACTGCCAGATATGTGCCGTCCTCTGGAAAGTCTTGTACAACGAACAAAGTTTCCGTGAAATGCCAGTATAATGAACACATTTCCAGTGTTCGTCTTGGTGACGCAGGACAACATAACAAGTCAGTGTAATGCTTTATTTCCAGCTCACGATTTAGGAATGTCAATTGTATTCAGAACCTGTCTGGTATTGCACGGAGAGAAGATTGTCTGATGGCCCCTTCAGGGTCCTGAAGGGGCCTGAAGGTGGCTAAAAAAAGCACCAGTGAGCTGGAACTTGTGTCTGAATGTCCTCCTTTTTTTCCAATGGGTCGGAAGTTAGATACACCTGATAGGTTATCTGAATGTAGCTTCCTTCCTCTGTCTTGAGCAGCAGCCACTCACAACTGAGTATCAGCGCACTGCAGGCGATCCACTTGCAGTAGTGAGTAGCTGTTGGAGTGTCATTGTTGGTGCTGCTTGGAGTGCGGGATGATACTCTCGTTGTCACTGCGAGACCACGATTCCACGGAACTTCTTGTACTGCTGTTCACTCGGCACAACTGCTGGTGTTGGAGATGTTGCTGCTTCTGCTGCTCCTGTTTCTGTTGCCACCCTGTTCCCCCTTGTTCCTCCTCCTCCTCCTCTTCCAGGCCCTGACTCAAAGGGCTGAAGCCCTCGTGATGACCAGAACCGAGGGCAGTCTTTGGAGAGTATGGATGGGCCTGGAGGCCCTTGGAACGCCGACTATAGCGAAGGGAGCTTCTAAGAGGTCCGTGTCCTCCTGCAGAAGCCCCGAAGGACCCTGTCCGTGGTGGAACCAGTGCTTCGTGGCCACCTGCTGACGTCCCAAAGGATCCCCCGCGAGGTGGGGCCAGAGGTCCGTGTCCGCCTGCCGACGACTCCAACGAACCCCCCCGATGGGACATGGACGACCGCTGGCGGCTTGACTGTCGCCGGAACGAGTAACGAACCTGTGGAGACGAAATATGCTGTTAGTA